ATGTCTTGGCTGGTGCAGGTGCAGATCTGAACAAGACTTATTCATTACTCATTTGCTCATGTTTGTCTATAAGGCCGGATGATTTTTAGTTGTGACCTTTAATTAGTCTTTGGAGAATCAAAGGGAGTCAGTGCAAACGTTCACATTTCTCAGCGGGTGGCCTTTGGTTTTGACAGTGACCATTGAACAATTTCTGACTGCTGACTGTATCCATAGTGACTGTGTCACCAAAATAATTGTGCAAATTTCATAATTAAGAATTGGTTCTCCATACGTTTACAAGTGCAAATTTGAATTAAATTGGCTATGGGAAGTGGAATCAGGAAATGATTCTGGAAGTACTTTTCCCATTCATTTTTCCCAATAGTTTCAAAATTTGTCTGACTTTGAACTAAACCAACCTGCAACAAGGTGAAAATCAACATTACAAACTTGTTACAATTACAAAATTGTTTAAAAATAATAATAATAAAAAAGTACAAGACTGTTTATTTAATGACTTTAATGAAGGAAATAACCTCAATCCCAAGAAGCATTGTGAATGGCAAATTAAAACTGATGGAGAAATACAGAACTATTGATTTAAAGATTAAATACAGAAATACAGAAACAATATATGCTATGTTTATTGTAAAATATGCATTAAAATACAAATATTTAAGGTGCTTGAAAGCAACTGACTCTATTACATCATTCACATTGCTTCATTGGAATAGGCAGGCACTTGATTTTTGGAGATTATTTCTGGCAGAATCATGGGTAATGTAGTTTATCACCAGAAATTCGGTAAACATTGTTATTTTAAAAAATAATTTGAAATAATGCAGACAAATGGGTTTAATAAAAGCATATAAAATCCATTAATAACCTCAAAGTTATCTGAAAATGATTGGGATTTTTAGTTTGTGTTTAATTCAAAATACACTTTTTAAATATTATTATTATTCATATTCTTCAAATATCAACTATTTGTTTCTTCAATTTAAGTTGGAATTTACAAAGAATTCTCATTACAGTTCTAAAACAGTGTTTGCAACCTGTTTTTCTGGGATTCACCTTTGCTTACTAAGTAAGAGACACATTTCCATGAGTTGCTCCATGAATTGCATCTTAATTCAATCCAACAATTTATGTTGACAATATTGAGTACTTTCAAGACAGCTAATGAGATGCTGCCTTAATTCTATCTTTAATCAGGATGGCTGATTTTCCAGGGAAAGGTTCAGTTTTTTAAATGATTAATTCCTCAGAGTAGATCACATTGTAATGGCTCCATTATGTTAGTGAGGATCCATGCTTATAATAATATGTGTTTTGATTCAAGTGGGTTTCCCCCCCTAATTTAAGCCTGTGACTCAGCTTCTCCTACGAGCTGTAACAAGATTGCGTGTGTCATTTGACTAAGTGTTTAACCATGGTTTTGGTATCCCGCTCCTGCGGTTCACTATTGGCCGGAGTTTGTTTAAACTAAACTAAACTCCCACCATGGAGCTCTCACAGCTCTCATTGCTCAAGCAAATTACCCTGCTGCACCACTCAAGCCAATTCTTTCCTTCCCCTCTCCCACCACTTTTTCTCCCTGTCTCTGATTTGATCTCATCTTCCCTATCTCTACTCCTCCGTCTTCCCAAGGTTCCCCATGTGTGCATGCCCATTTCTTTGAAATTAATTTAAACAAAACACGAGTTTCAATTTCCTCCGATATTTGCAGTCGTTTTACACATATTTCCTCTTTTGTTTTCATTCTTTGTCATAGCTCATAGCTTTTTTTCTGCAGGCGACTTGCATCCTTTAACCGAGATATTTCTGTGACCACATGCCTCCAGATGTTGGCCCTCAGTGCTCAAAGCCAGCTGGGAGTCATTATCCAGGCATGTTGTACCAAACCCCTCCCACTCCTCCATACACCCCGTTTCCATGGCCACAATGCTGTTCTGTGGGATTTCAAGTGAGGAGAATTTGGCAAATGGGTTTGGTATGTATGTGGTGCTCCAGGCATGATTTGGCAGAACATACTTGTAACATACTATTGAACTTATATTATTGGGAAGCTCCTAAAGCAAACTGTGTTGTACCGCTTCCAATATGAAACAGACCATAACGCAAAATCTGGCAAGATAAGGAATTAAATATGTTGAAATCAGTCAAAAGGCTGAATGTCTTTGTGTTCTGAAACTGCTGAATGTCTGGCGGTTGACAATAAACAGCAGACCTGGTTTACTTAAATATTCAGGCTCCTGCTGAGTTAAGAAGAAATCGTAAAATCAGAGACTAAATTTGCCCAATGGGGGGGGGGCTGAATTTGAATAAGGTTTGAATGTTTTAGCAGCTGCAGCTTTTTCCCAAGTAAAGCTCCAACTGGGAAAGCTTGTTCTCAGGAAAACAGGGAGGATATTATTTAAAAAATGAAGCAACAAAATAGATTAAAAAAAATATATATTTTTTTTTTTCTGGTGAATAAACATTGAAACCTTAGCGTTAAAAAATTTGAGGTTGCTACAATTTTTAATGTTTATAAACGTGTCTTTTTTAAACTCAAAAATACAGTAAAACATTTCAATATTATAATAGTTATAATTATAATTATAATATTATAAAGTATTATTATAGCTTAAAAGAACTGTTTTGTATTTTAATCTATTGTATTCCTGTGAAGCAAAGCTGAATTTTCAGCATCATTATTCCAGTCTTCAGTGTCACATGATCCTTCAGAAATCATTCTAATATGCTGATTTGGAGCTTATGAAACATTTCTTATTATTTTCAATGCTAAAAAAAAGTTGTGCTGCTTGATATTTTTGTCAGGATTTTTCGATGAATAGGAAGTTTAAAAAGAACAGCATTTATTTGAAAGAGAAATCTATTTGAACATTTTATGTCACTTTAGATCAGTTTAATGCATAAAAGATGTAAATTAAAAATTTAAATGTATAGTCTTTCTCTACTAATATTGATGACTCCTGCACAACATGTCATTTTTGTCCAATCAGATGCTCTGTACAATTACAACGTAAAACGCCATCATAATCAATCCCTTTGATGTGCCCTAAACCTCCTGTTTTACACAGAAAACAAAAAGCAATGTATGGCATCCATAAGAACTCCTGAGTTTGCATGTCCACATAATCTGTGACAGGGATTGAGGTTTGGTTTAATGAAAAATAAGGGTAGTAATAAAACTCTCCATTCCTACCAAACCAAATTATGGAAATTAATGTTGAAATGGTCTCATGCCGTGAAATATCACAATATTGGAGCAACGATGCTCTGAGTCTTGCTGTCTAGAGGAGCATGCAAGTAGTTTTATGGTCCTTTTTGTAAATTCAAAGATGTGGTCACTATTAGATATAGTCTGTACTTAAAAGGAAACACCAGAAGCAACAATATAATTCAATATCGGTTAATGGTTGATGTGGTTGCAGGCTCCCGAGAGTTAGGAAAGGAAACAGATGCCATGGAAAAAACCTCAATAGATGAGGGCAAGATTACACCGCTGCTACTGAATCCCTGACCGGAGATGACCTCTTGCTGAGAAGGTGGCGACACTAGCTGCACATCATGTGGAGCACTGGGTCTTGACATGGTGTTTCTGAGATATGAGAAACAGAGGCCACCTGCTGTCAGGGAGTACATTTGCATTTTCATTCAGTCTCTCTGCTGTTTTTGTTTTGTGCAGGTTTTCACAAATCTAAAATCAGACCATTCTGTTTTTTTTTCTTTAAATCTTGAAATTATAATCTAATTCAATAATAAAAAAAACAACTGTTCATGCCAAATGTATATGCACTACCAGTCAAAAGTTTATGAACAGTAAGATTTTTTATGTTTTTAAAGAATTCTCTTCTGCTCATCATGCCTGCATTTTTTTAATCCAAAATACAGCAAAAACAGTAATATTGTGAAATATTTGTACTATTTAAAATAACTGCTTTCTATTTGAATATATTTTAAAATGTAATTTATTCCTGTGATCAAAGCTGAATTTTCAGCATCATTACTCCAGTCTTCAGAGTCACATGATCCTTCAGAAATCATTCTAATATGCTGATTTGCTGTTCAAGAGACATTTATTATTATTATTATTATCAATATTTAAAACAGTTGAGTAAATTTTTGCAGGATTCTTAGATGAATAGAAAGATCAAAATATCAGCATTTATCTGAAATAAAAAGCTTTTATACATTATACACTATACCATTCAAAAGCTTAAAGTCAGGTATACTTTTTTTAGGGGGGGAGGGGTTATAGAATTGAATACTTTAATTTAGCAAGGATGCTTTAAATTGTTTAAAAGTGATGATAAAGACATTTATAATGTAACAAAAATCTCTATTTCAGATAAATGCTGTTCTTCTGAACTTTCTATTCATCAAAGAAACCTGAAAAAATTCTACTCAGCTGTTTTCAACATAATAATAATAATAATAATAATAATAATAATAAATGTATTTGAGCAGCAAATCAGAATATTAGAAATATTTCTGAAGGATCATGTGACTGAAGTAATGATGCTAAAAATTCAGCTTTGAAATCACAGGAATAAATGAGGCTACATTTTAAATTATACTCAAATAGAAAACTGTTATTTTAAATAGTAAAAATATTTTAAAATGTTACTGTTTTTGCTGTAATTTGGATCAAATAAATAAAAAAATCTTACTTTTCAAAAGCTTTTGATTGGTAGTATAGCACTACTGTCTGTTCAAAATAAATGAAAAAAGAAAAAGAAAAGAATGCATTTCCTGTTTGTACCAACATAGTGTCGAACCGTAACCCCACAAGTACATGACTTCTGTGTACCATTACATGCTTAGAACAGTACAGATACAAAACAGATTCTGGCGAAAAACAAACCAGACCCCTTAGATGCGTGAATATGCTTGTTAAAGTACTGGTTCATTAACCATCAACAGACGCTAACGATCTGCTAAAGGCAGATGGATGGATGGATGGATGGAGTGCCAGACATTAAGCTATGCTTGCCAATGCAACTGTTAAGTGTTTTGTTTACTTTAAAGGAATCCAGTGAGACTATTAATTTAATGTATCACAGTTGTTCTTCAATGTCTTTTCTAGGGGAAAATGAACATTAATGAGAAATCATACAATGGCTCAAACGAATGCACATGTGATCTGTTTACAGCTAAAGTGAATCACAATAGCTTCCTCTTCATGCTTTCTCACCTCGGGGTATTAAATAAACTGAACCAGGAGTTTACTGCATTCACTGATCTCATTCACCTGGCTCTTAAAAGAGAAGAGAAATGAATGGGAAAGTTAAGTACAAGGAATGAATGAAGATAATAATATATAAACAACTTGTTTTTTTTTAGAAACTAATATTTGGATGTATTTAATGATCCGCAAAGGTACAGAAAAGACATTTATAATGTTGCCAAATATTTATATTTCAAATAAATACTGTTCTTTCAAAAAGTCCTGAAAAAAAGTTCATCATCCCACAAATATACACAGATAAATATTAATAAGAAATGTCTTGAACACCAAATTACCATATTAAATGATTTCCGAAGGATCATGTGACACTGAAGACTGGAGTAGTGATGCTGAAAATTCAGCTTGTCATCACAGGAATAAATTACATATTAAAATGTAATAAATAGAAAGTTATTTTAAATTATAACACTATTTAACAATATAACTGTTTTTACTGTAGGCCTACTTTTGATTGAATAACTCTAGTCTGTCTTACCAACCCCATATATAGCCTATATACAGTCTGAATGTATGCAAATGTCAAATCCTACATATTTTTTCCTCCTACAAAAACAGAAAAGTGTATCCTGAAGTCTAACAAGTGCATTTTTGCCCCGTTTCCTGTCTCTCCTCTAACTAGTAATTGTATGGATACGTTTAAACGGCCTTGTCAGATGATATCAGTTCTTTGGAGTGAGGAAAGCATATGTTACATAGCAAAACCACAGGCAGATCTCTAATGACATATTGCATGTTGTCAGAGGGTAGTGGTTGTTAACTGGATGTTTTCCATTTAGAGACTTGGCATTATACATTGCCGTTAGTGTTGTACAAATGTATAGGCAATCCTATTCACTGTTCAACAAGTGAACAAACGGTGCTTATCCTTTCCAGAATTTATTTCTTATGGGATAAACAGAATATCTCATGTCAATATCCAAAGGGACAAAAATGGAGAATACAAAAAATTACTTGATTTATTGTTGCGTATTCCCTTTTATATTTAATAATATTTAATCACTGACCTTTACTTAAGCAGTTTTATGAAAAAAAAAAGCTTATAAACTGCAAAACTGAAATAACTTGTTTCAAGTTGAACCATATTACTTTTATAGTTTATATCACTGTTCCTTGATAGCATTCATTGGCTAAAGTAAAAATGTAAAGTGTAAAGTAGCCAAAAGACAGTAAATACTTCAGAATGTTTGCGGCGTATGCAAGGAGATAAATTATGGAAAAAAGCAATTCACAACATTCTCATTTAACAACTAAACTGACACTAATCGACTTGTTGTGGAATGCAGATGTTTTTCAAGACAGACACATGACAGAAGCCTTAGTGGTGGGGTGTAGCATCTTTTATTTCAAATACCTTTACAATAGCCCTGAGGCTGGTCTCAAATACATTTCTGACATGAGAAGCCTATTGGTAAACTCTTTGGTTAAAGACATAAAGAATAATTTTGAAGAAACCAGTATTTACATTGGTAGCACCAAATTTATATTCAAGTTTTATTTTTAATGCTAACAATTAAGTGTACCACGTAATGCAAGTAAAGAATTCCTAGGACTTGGTTGCAAGCAGGGTCCAAAATAATTCCTTTTCAATTGTCGAGGATAGATAGATAGATCGATAGATAGATAGATAGATAGATAGACTGATTGATTGATTGATTGATTGATTGATTTGATTGATAAGAATGTGTTCATTTTAGACCCTGGTTGCAAGATTGTTTTTTAAATGCATTTTAAAGAGTCTAAGTCTGTATCATCAAAGAGAGATGACATCAAAGAGATTTCAGCTCCTTACCAATGAAAAAAAGAATTTTTCGTGCCCTCAACAGTGGATATATTATTTAATGCTAATTTCTGGTAGTCATGGACAACTTAATACAGTCATAGTCAAAGCTCTAAAACCTACTCCAATATTGACGTAATCTGTGAAACGACTTGATTAATCCCTTTACTTAACAAAAAAATAAGTGACAAAAATATTTTTTAAGAATTCTGACACAATCATTTACTGTCTTTTATGAAATGTAAGAGACTATGAAAAACCTTTGAAGTTCAGATATATCATTCACATGAAAAAAAGACAAAAAACAAAAACAATCAAAGCTTGTGCTATACTGCCACCCACCCCCTTTATTCCTGAACCCCTCCCACTATCCAATCACCCCCTTGACTCCAGGGAAATCTTGCGGGATACAGTTTGGTAAAAGACCCCAGTGACCAATGAGCGGTAGTCGGGTACTTTGAAAAGGTGGCGGTTGGCGTATATATTGTCATAGGGCCGTCCTCGGCTCACCAAGGTGCGCAGGTGCACCTCGTTTACCTGGTTGCCCACGGCCAGCACGTACAGCTCAATGCCTGCGTTGCTCACCTGCTCCATGGATTTTTCAATCTGGATGTTGTTGACACCTTGAGAACGACCATCCGAAAACACCAGCAGCTTCTTCTTCCTCGTCCTGCCGCCCCTGAAGCGCTCAATGGCGAAGTTGAGAGCATTTGTTACCTGTGTACCTGCATTCTGGAACTTTGCCTCTGTGATCTGAGCGCCCACCTGGGTGGTGTTTGAGGAAAATTCGGCCTCGAAGTTGGCATTGTTGCTGTACTGGCCAACGCCAACCCGGACCTGGAAGCCTCCTCTTTCTGCTGACAAAAAGCGCTTAGCCAGCATTTGTGCGAACTCCTTGGTCATCTCGAAGTTCTTGGAGCCCACGCTTGCCGAGCTGTCCATCATGATGAGGACATCGGTGTTGTCATTAAATGAAACTGGACAAGAGGAAGAAGGTGCAACCGTTATTATCTCATAGTGAAAACAGCAACAATTGTGGCTCTCAAATCAATACTTACTTGGACAAGTATAGGTGGGACACTTCTTGTCTGTGAAGAAAGCACAACATTGTGAATATCTCTCAAAATCAAATCCAGAACTCACAAAGCACCCTAAATCTGCAGCAGATGCAGTATTTAACCTACCTTCACAGATCCTCTCAGTCAGGTTTTGCAGGAAACTGTCATCCAGAAGAAGACCAAAGTTGTTTAAGACAAAGGAGAAACCTTCTCTGGGATCATCTTTACACACAACCTCCTCAAGCTGTTCTGGATTGGGCTTCCTTTCTGCATAATCCGTCACTCCAACGCCACCAACCTGCCAGAAATCATAAGCGAGTCAAAGTTTCCATCTACCGGTACATCCTTTCTGGTTGTGGACTTCATTTAACTCCATGTCATGGGACCATACTTGGATGCCAATAACATCAAATGTCATTGGATCACAAGTTTTCCCTAACCAAAAATCACATCTGCGGGATATTCGATTCATATCTCTGAATAATGAATTCCACTTCTATGGAAGCAGTTTCAGTACACCTCCTCAAAGATCCACACAACTGCATTAGTTCATTAGCACAAAGTTCAACAAAGGGTCAATGGAAAAATGTGCCATATGTGCCAGAATGATATTACATTGCTTCCTGCATACTTGCATACACTTTCAAACTTAAATATCCAGTGAGAGGCACTTGAAGCATGCTCAGCTTAATCTGAAACAGATGTACGTGAATTTGGCGATGTTTTATGTTGGTTGCTGCACATATTGAGTGCTCTTAACAAAATCAAGCAACAAAATCTCTTTTAATGTGATTCATATTTCAGGGGACTTGTACCTGAGTGCTCCGCATCGCAAGTGCAATGCTGTATCAGGTGCGTTACCGAGCAAGTTTACTATAGCCATACATATGGAGCTGGTTGTGTGATGCAATTGTCGAAATCATATGCTATGGTAAAACTACTTTGAGGTAATATGTAGTTTTGCACAAGTAACTGTGCAAAAACCAATCCCGATTAACCGGCATAATTTGTGTGAACAGGAATAAAAACGGTTGGCTTTTTACTGTAAATAGTGTTTATTTCAACTAGAAACTGGGATTGTACCATATGTTTAGGTATGTTTTTTAGTTTTGCAAAAGTTGAGGCATGTTTTTTTCCAAAAAGCCTATGTGGTCTGAGTTCACTAGCTTTACCTTCAGTCCCTTGCCGCACAGCACGTTTAGGGGCACAGTGTCTCTTTTGGTGTCAGAACGTCCATCAGTAAGGATAATGACCACACTCCTCTCCGTCACAAGCTTGTTAATCATGTTGTTTAGCGAGTACTGCAGAGCTTCTCCAGTGTATGTGGCTTCAGCCAGCCAGCGCAAGTCTTTCACAGCTCTAGTGAAAAAGATCATTTTTCTTTATTTCTTCAGACACAATGCCAGACGTACACACAAAATGCAAGCTCATCTGAAGAGGAAACAAATTCCTTCAAGCCACAGAATTGTATCTTGAAGTTGTTTTTGCCATATTGTGTGCAGACTATGGCTTTTAACAAAAGAACGTTGATATTTCGTACTGTTTTAGGTCTGTCAAGGTCTTAATGTTGGGGTCACCAAGCTGTACGACCTCCTGAGCATTGGCACCGCTGTACTGCACCACGCCAATACGAGACTCATTGGCACCAAACTGAAAGAAAAATAAAGAAACTCAGCTTAAATACATCATTGTGTGAAATTCATTCAGAAGAGCCCATGACCACCATGCATTCACAATTGGAGAAGACCAAATGTAATAATTTATGAATCAATCATTGAAAAACCCAATTTGGTCAACACTAATCTGAATAAGATTGGAAACGTGTCTTCCTTAGTGTCTATGGTGATTACAACTCTAATAAATCAAAGCTGACAGTTAACTGAAATGTTAATGAGTCTCTTGTTGATCTAAAAAGGAAGCTTACCTGTTTTAACTTGAGTCTGTCCATTACCGTCACAATGAAGTCTTTAGCGATGGCAAAGTTAGAAGCTCCAATACTCTCAGAGCTGTCCACAATGAAGACAATGTCCAGGGGTCCACATTTGCATTCTTAACAAACAAGAAAATACATGCATATAGAGAAGATGGCATTGCTAAACGCTAAATAAAAACACAGTTTGAAACATTTTTAATATACTTCAAAGTCTTGGGACTTACCACAGCAAGCTGAAAGAAAGAAAGAAAGAAAGAAAGAAAGAAAGAAAGAAAAAAAAGAAAGAAAGAAAGAAAGAAAGAAAGAATGAAAGAAAGAAAGAAAAAGAAAGAAAACACATTACATTTGCATCAAATTTGACAATATCAGGCAAATCAAAAATGTATGTTCTATCAAAACATTCACAGTAAGGGATCCACAATTATTTTGCTATTTCACAGAACGAAGAATCTAGTCTGGAAATAATAAGCTTTCATAAAACTTCACTCATTAGCACTTACAAAAGATCAGTTAATGCTCTGACCTAAACACCTGACAGTTTTATTATCTTATGTCTCAATTTATAATCCTAAAGCAGAATTTCAAAAAGACCATAATCTGTGTTTAATCTGTGGTGGCAATAATTAACAGAACAATGGTTTATAAGCCTCTATTAAACAGACGTAAAATAAACCAATCTGTGAAAATCTGGACAAAACAAGTAATATGCTTGGGAGTGAAAATAAATGATAAAACTCTAATAGACACAAAACAGCCTAATCTCAAATGAACGGTTGGAGCTATTTGTAACAGATATTTTTTATTTTGGACAAGTTTGTCTGCTTTTTTCTGGTCCCTGAGATTTCATTCATACAGTAATACATTTCAAACACTGCTTTTACTCATTGTGTTTAATCTTACATGACTAATGTAATTTATCAAATTAAATACTAACACAACAAGAGTCAAGTTTTTTTTTTTTTTTTTAAGATGAATGCACAAGGGCCGTACAGGGAGAACCTTCATATCCCAAAAATGTGGACCATATTAAGTAAAACAGCAGCCCACAACACATTATTTGCACCTGATTGGTTAATACTGTCAAATCCCCTTCCTTCAAACTAATGTGTAACCTTACACTGAACTTTTACACACTTCTGTTCAAAGCAACAGTGTTTTCTCTCTCTTGGATTATGTCCTGCTTTCACATGCCCGGATGGTGATATTAAATATCTAAGTTAAGCTTCCAAAACTAATATTTATGATAAACGTGCACAATATGATCATTTAAATGAATCCACTCTGGGTAAAAGGCTACAGTTCCAATGAGAGTTATAAAACAAAATAATGAATATCCTTTCAAAAGCAAAAAAGACATAATTTGATTAATTAACTTAACTAGACATATTATACATATGAATGGATGATTTCTTTTTCAATGGATGAAAAAGCACATTTATATATGAATGGTGGTATTCATCAAAGTATTTTCTAATTTCTCTCATGCCGTACCCAACTTTTTGCATGTTTTCTACTGGTCTGCAGAGT